GTACCAGAGTGTGGTTTCCTGGGCTAGACAAAATGGTGGAGGCGTGCACATTCAGCACTGCCACCCGTGTCAGGTAATGAATGTGTCACCGGAACGGGAGCCATTACACATGACACGCATGCCCAGTGAGCCTTGGAGAGAGGTTACTGTAGACTTTTGGGGCCCCATACATACCGGAGAGTATCTGCTGGTTACGGTGTGCAAGCAGTCCAGATGGGTGGAAGTGGAACTGGTCACCTCCTCCAGCGCCAGGGCGGTGATACCCAAAATGGATAAAACTTTTACCTCGTTGGACATACCAGTGTCAGTGAGCAGTGACAACGACCTCCGTTCAGCAGCCAGGACTTCCGCGACTTCAGCAAGTACTTGGGCTTTCGTCACGAGCGAAAGACGCCACTGAACCCGCAGGCTAATGTAGAGGCTGAGAAGTTCGTGAGAGTACTGAAAAAGCTGTACCAAATAAGCAAGTTGACTGGATCGAATTTGAAGCAGGAGATATACAGATTTCTACGTGCCTACAGAGCGACTCCTCACTGCACCACCTAAATTGCTCTCGCATATCTGATATATCCCAGTGGCAAGTTCTGCACCAGATTTCCCATCGGAGTTGTTCCTCGTGAGCATAACTTTGAAGAACTGTTTCAAAGAGAATTAGAGAAGAAATTGCAATTGAAAGGGTACGCAGACAACAAGAGATATGTCAAATCCTCTGACATACAGGTGGGGAGACTCTGTGCCAGTCTGAAGGGAGGCAATTAACAAGGCCACACCCGCCTATGAGGCAGAACCACTGCAGGTGCAGTGCAGGAAAGGGGCACCAGGGTGATAGTCGAAAGGCCTGATGGCAGTTCCATCACAAGGACCACAGCCCACTTAAGAAAGTTCCTTTCAGATCGATTGAAGAGGCCCACAGGTGGTCCAGTCTGAAAAGCTCAGTGGAGCATCTCAACGAGTCACCGCTAAGCACCAGAGAAGGTGGGCCGCCTGGTTTGGAGCAGACCGACAAAAGCATGATTGAGACAGGGGCTGAAGAATCCATCCCAGCCGAGGATGCCCTATTGGACGGGGTGGCCGCACCACCTGCTTGGGGTCAGGGACCGAGGAGAAGTGAGAGGCACTGAAAAGACCCGGACATGTATTTTAGGCAAAATTGCCCAGACTGTCAGCTGTGAAGCTGAAGTTGGAGAACTTTTCCTGGTCCAGAATGGATCGGAGGCATTTTCTTCTTTCATTTTGAGTTTTGTTATAATTTTCTTCCTTTTTGTATGTCTGTTGTGTTACTGTTTCTTTCTTGTATGCCTCCCCTGAAACTGTCTGTAAGCAAGGGGAGAATGTAGTATCATACGTTAGGACTAGGTCCTAGGCCCACTACATGCTCTGACAATGGAGGCCCAGTTACGGGCCCTTGTAGTTTACTCACTAGCATGGTAGCTTTAGTCTATTAAAGCTGGGCAATAGACAAATTAACCAACTGTGAGCACAATTTTTCCTGGATGTTTTCAAGCCAAGGCCTTCAATAAAACTCAAGTTGTTATAAAGGAGATATGCATCAATATGCTTGNTAGAAGGTGAACTTCACTGGCATTTTTCCCCAAGGACGCTAAAAAGAGAGCAGAGTGGATTGCACAAGTTTCTAAAGGGCTGCACGGATTTGTGGCCACAGCAAATACAGTGGTTTGTTCAACCATTTTCGTTATAGTAAATCAACTGTTGAAGATAATCTCAGACTAAATGTTGTGAACTGGAGATGTTTAATCTGAACCCGATCTTCTCTTTTTTGGCCATCTCTAAGCTAAACCGAACATCAACATCAAAGGACTGAAAAAAGCAAACCTCACTACACACAAACAACGCACAATGATTTGAGCACATGGTTGCTAAAGTCATGTGATCTGCACAAGGGGGACCGGAGGGGCAAACTGTCCCTAACATCTCGGCTCCTTAAATGCGAAAAGGTACCCACCAAGTGTTTACGGAAAATTATACAGTACAATGTTTTAACGATTGACAGTTCAAGTTTCTAATAAGTATTCCTGTTTAAGACAAGTCCGGTATACATAATGTATTGTATAATGCATACAAGTTCACATCTCGCCACCTGCAGACTCCAAAAGGCACAACTTAATTACAGACCTAGTCAGGATCAACCAGCTGGTCTTCACTTGGGCCGCCCTGACTAATCCGTCCTTTCCGGGGAAAGTCTGAACTATTCATCCCATAGGCCAATTCTTCCAGGGGATGTTCTCATCCCTGATCAGAACCACATCACCATTCTGCAAATTTTTCTTTGGCCATAACCACTTTTGACACAGCTGCAAGGTGGGTAAATACTCCCCAACCCAGCATTTCCAAAACTGGTTGGAGAGAAACTGAACGTCTCCAACGTCTTCCATAGATGTCACTGTGGTCAAACCGGCCGGGTACCAGATAAGGTCCTCCGTGAAGAAGTAGTAAATGATTTGGTGTCAGGGGAGTTTCATCATTTGGGTCATCAGATAAAACTGTCAACGGTCTTCGATTCACGATCGACTCCACCTCATAGAATTGGGTGGACAAGCTTTCATCATCTAAGGTCTGTCCCCTGAGGATGGTGTTCAGCACCTTTCTGACCATTCTGATTTGTCTTTTTCATATCCTGCTCATATCGCTCTGTCAATAACATTGCTAGTGGAGCCAGAGTCGACTAGAACTCCTTCCAGTCGAACACCTCCTAGCTCAATGTCTACGGTGGGAATATCTCTTCCATTAGACTGTAAGGTGAAGGCGAAATCATCATCTTTGGTGACTTGGCGTATATTTCCTTTCCTGGGTCTATTAGCATTGTCTTCCTTCGTTTTGCAAACTTTGGCAAAATGCCCCACTCTTTTACATTTCATACAAGTAGCCAGTCTTGCTTTGCACTCCGGATCCTTTGCAAAATGTCCTTCGAGTCCACACCGATAACAACGTCCTCCTCCACGTTTAGGCGAATCAAAATGTCCCCGCTCTAAGGAATTTACATTTCCGCTCCGTGAATCGCTTTCAATCGACCGTGCCTGACTTTCAGCAGCTTCCATGGATCTAGCAACATCTCTAGCCTTCTGAAGTGTGAGTTTACCACTGACAGCGAGTAGTTTCTTGCGAAGATCATGGGACCGACATTTATCAATTAACTGATCGCGTATTTGTTCTTCCTTGGATGTTCCGAAGTCGCAATTCTCGCTAAGCTGGAACAATCTGGTCACAAACTGGTCTGTTGTCTCGGACTCTTCCTGTTTTGCTTGACGGAACTGATGTCGTTCAAATGGGATGTTAACCTGTGGCAAAAAATGTGCGTCCAGTAGTCTCATAGCTTTCGCATACTGCGTTTCTTCTTCTGGGGTTGGTCCAGAGTCACTCAGCGTAACAAAAATGTCCTGAACATCCTGTCCAGCGCAATGCAAAAGTAAGGCTTGTTTTTGTGTGTCTTTTGTGATACCCTTTGCCTCGAGAAAAAACTCAAAAGAACGTTTCCATCGTCTCCAACGAGGTCCCACGCTTGTCGGATGGCCTGTGCAATCGA